GTATTCAGCCTCCCAAGAGCTGGGATTATAGGTGTGCACCACCATGCCCAGTCTCAGTTGTGTCTCAGCATGCCCCAGGGGTGGGGCCAGCACTGCAGGCTGGGGATTGAATCCTGGCTGCTGCATCTGCCTACGCAGGGGCTTTAATCCCCCAGATTTAGTTTTGCTAAATCTTAGCAAAATTATACCAGAGTAATAAACCTTAAAGTAAAGCTAGATCTCTCATTAATTTAAAAATCATTTAGGGTGGGTGGTGGGATGGTACATACCTATAATCTCAGCACTGAGGCTGAGGCAGGAAGATAGCCTTGAGTTCAAGGCCAGCCTGAGCTGTACAGTGAGTTAAGCTTGGACTATACAGTAAGACCCTGTCTTTAAAAAAATAATAAAATATAAATCATTTAGTTAGTATTTCTTTCCATTACAAGTTTATCTTTTCATTTCAGTGAAACTCAAGAACTAATTACAGCTACACATAACTTTCACTTTATAAAAAAGAATAGGGCCAGCCAAATAGCTCAGCGGATTAAAGCACCTGCAAGCAGGTGCAGGGGCCATGGTTTGAACTCCAGGCCTGCCATGCCAGCCCTGCCCCTGGGGCGCACTGAGACAGCAGTTGAGGCTGGGCATGGTGGCGTGCACCTGTAATCCCACCTCTTAGGAGCTGTAAATAGGCAGATGACTATGAGTCTGATCTACATAGTGAGATCCTTTAGACCCTGTACTAAAATTTAAAAAAAAAAAATGCCCATAAAATTATTTATCTAAAACTGGGTGTGATGGTGCACACCTGTAAACCCAGCACTTTGGAGGCTGGCTAAGGTAGGAGGACTGTTGCCATTTTGAGACCAGCCTGGGCTACAAAGTAAGCTCAAGGCCAGCCTGAACTGCATAGCAAGACCTGTGTCAAGTGGGGAATGTAGCTCAGTGGCACAGTGTTTGCCTGATGAGTACAAGGTCCTGAGTTTGATTCCTGGTGCCCCTGAAAACTTATTTGGGCTGGTGAGATGGCTCAGTGGTCTAAAGCACCTACTTAGAACAAGCTTAGCAAAGCACAGGAACCGCGGTTCAATCCCCCAGCACCACATGCCAGCCAGCCCTGCCCCCTGGTGGGCTGAGCTGGACACACACACACACACACACACACACACACACACACACAATAAATAAATAAATGTTTTAAAAAAAGACCTGTGTCCAAAAAAAAAAAGCTATATATATATAGGCTCTTCCTCTCTACCCTAGGCTGGCCTTTGCTCATGGCCATGCTCCTGCCTCAGTGCTAAGATTACAGGTTTGCACCACCCTCCTGGCTCAGACACATCATTCTTATGTCCAGAAAACAACAGGCTGATATTTTGAACATTTCTTGGATTAAAAAGTTTATTTTTTTTAAAGTTCATTTTTTTATTGTCATATATTTGTTCATTTTCGGTTGCTTTTTGAGTATCAATAATTATGTGTTATGGGCTTTTTTTTTTCTTCTTCGCCTTTTTTCTTCTTTTTGGTGGTACCAGCGATCAAATTTCAGGACCTGAGCTATCTCCCCAACCCCAAAAGTTCATTTATTTAACAGCAAATATTCCTGATAGTTTTGATTCTACTTTGGTTGTGGTGACAGCCAAATCCAATTGTTGGAGTAGGAAGAATTTAAAGATAGTGAAGTAGGTCAGATGCTGTGATCTGCATAACTTGTTAGCACTGGTGTTGACAATATAGCAAGAATCTTTTGGGGGGGGGAGCGGAACCAGGGATTGAACTCAGGTCCTTGCGCTTACCAGGAAAGCACTTATTTTACTGAGCCATCTCCCCGGCCCCTAGATTCTATCAGAAAAAGAGAGAGAGAGGAAGAGGGAGGGGGAGGAAGAGGGAGAAGGCTGAGGACATAGCTCAGCAGCACAGCACTTGCCTGGCAAGTACAAGGTCATGAGTTTGATTCCCAGTTAAAGAAAAGGGGGAGGCGGGAGACAAACTGGGCATGATGGTGCACCCTGTAAGCCCAGCACTGGGAAGGCTGAGGCAGGAGGATCACAGAGTTTGAGACCAGCCTGGGCTACAAAGTAAGCTCAAGGCCAGCCTGAACGGTACAGTGAGACCCTATCTCAAAAAGAACTCCCCCCCCAAAAAAAAACCAATGGTTTTAATAGTACTCCAATATTGATTAATCTTTACTCTTTTGTAATTAAGATTCATTTAGCTTCTGGTTCCTACCTTCAATATACATTTAGTACCAACCGCAATCAAACTTTACCTTTCATTGCCTTGCATACCTTTTTTTGAGACAAGGCCTCCATATGTAGCCCAGGCTGGCCTTAAATTCATAGCAATCCTGTCTCAGCCTCCTGAGTGCTGGGATTACAGGCATATGTCACCACACCCAGCTAGTTATTATGTATATAGCCAGGAACAGAATTAGTATAACATTTTCATTTGAAAAGCAAAAAATAAAGGTTATTTGAGAGATTAGGGATTTTCTTTTGCTTTGTTTTGTTTTTTTCAAGGGTCTACACGGTGTTCAGTGTCACACTACTAGATTGGACTCGAAGTGATCCACCTGTTTACAGCCTCCCAAGAGCTCGGGTTATAGGCGCATGCCACCACACTTAGTCTCAATTGCCCTCTGAGGGCACCCCAGGGCGGGGCTAGCATGGCAGGCCCAGGGATCGAACCCCCGGCCCGGGGAGTGAACTCAGGCCCTAGTGCTTGCACACTTATTCTACAGAGCTATCTCCCCAGCCCCCCGCTGAGCTACTTGGCCAACCCATTCTTTTCCTTCTTTATCAGTTCCTTAAGATGAAAATTCTTTGCACTGGGCCTCATAGAAAACTGTCCTCCTTCGGTTACTTGGAATATCAGAGAAATCTCCAGAAAGAGCACAATCAGAAAGGACCACAAAGGGCTGGCCAGAGAGCTTAGCGGATGGCAGGCACAGACACAGGGTTTGATCCCCAGTGTGCCACACAGGCCCAGCCCCCCAGGGTGTGCTGAGACCGTGATTGAGACTCGGCATGGTGGGCGCATGCCTGTAATCCCAGTGCTTGGAAGGCTGAAAATAGGAGGAAAACTACAAGTGCGATCTGTGTAGTGAGACCCTGTACTAAATACATGGGGGGAGGGGAGAAAAGAAAAGAAAAGAACCAAAAACAGTACTGGGGAGATAGCTCAGTGGTATAAGGGCCTGTATGGCAAGTGTAAGGACCCAGGATCAATCCCCAGTACCACATGCCATGTAGGCCTCAGAATCCCAGCTGTGTGCTGGGCCAGCCACTGAAACCAAGTGTGGTGGCGTATGTCTGTAATCCCAGCACTGGAGAGGCTGAAACAGGAAGATCACTACAAGTCCAAGCTGCATAGTGAGACTGTACAAAATAAATAAAG